AGCGGGGTTTACAACGGCACCCGTGGCTCATCTGCGACTAGAACCTAAGCGCGCGCGTAGCGCGCGCGTGGTTCTAGTATGTGTATATATATGTGTATATATATATATATATATGTATATATACATATATATATATGTATATGTATGTATGGATGTATGTATATATATATATATATATATATAGATCCCTGGGGGCGAGTCAGGGGGCCCCAGGACAGGTGCCTCGACCCCCCATGGGGGGACGGGGGGGGCCTGGAGCCTCCCTGGAGCAGCCCAGGCGGCCCAAGAGTGCCCCAAGAGCGCCCCACGACAGGCCCAGCAGGCTCCAAGAGGCCCAAGAGGGCGCCAAGAGGGCCCCAAGATGCCCATGATAAGCCCAAGACGGCCAAAGAGGCCCCCAAGACGCTCCAAGAGGCCTCCAAGAGGCCCCCCCAGAGGGCCCCAAGAGGCCAAACTCGTTCATTTTACTAAGGTTTTGGGTACATTTTGCCTTTCCCGCCTTTTCAGCTTTCCGACGCTCCACGACGGCTTACAGCCCCCCCGCGGACGCCCCAAGACAGCCCAAGAGGCCTCCAAGAGTGGCTCAAGACGGCTCTGGAGGGCCCCAAGACGGCCCAAGACGCGCCTAAGACGGGCGAGCAGAGGCCCAAGACGGCCCCAAGAGGGCTCCAAGAGGGGAACCGCGAACCGGAAATTCGAGCCTCCCGCCTCCACAGGGCCTAAGGAGGCCCCAAAGGGGCCCCAAGAGGCCCCAGGAGACCCTCCAGAGGCACCAAGGAGGCCCGAACGAGGCTTCAAGAGGCTCCCAAACAGCCCCGAGGAACCTCACAACGGACGGTGCGGACGAGCCGCACTTCGGACCGCCGCCGCCGCTGGTCCAAGAAAACGGCCTCCTCGACGCCATGCGCGCCGTGCCCTTCCTGCGGTGGCACCTCCCGCCCCGGGCCAGCGCAGAGGCCCTCACGCCCTTGTTCGACTGCCGTTCTGGGTCGGGACTCTTTTGGCGCTCCTCGCTCCCTGTCCCCTTTCCTTTCCTCCCTTTGGAGTCGGCTGGGGGTCTGATCAAGGTGCCCTAGCATTGTTCCTGGCGAGCAGGAAGGGGGGAATCGAGGTTCGAGGTCCTGGGTTCGAGAAGGTTTTTGCCTTCTCCGGCTTCTGGGAGCCGTTTTCGGGTCCCGAGACCGTCAAAAACAGACCCGGGATGACGATTTGCACCAGATGGACCCGGGGAGGGGTCTGGGAACAGTTTTTGTGCGGATTTGCCCTTACCCCTTCTTGACACATTCTCTCGGGGTCCATTAAGTTCAGACCTCCTGGCGGTCTCCAACCCTTCCCTTCCTTTGCTCTTCTCCTTCTCCTCTTCGCTTGAATCTGCAAGGGTTCAAAACGATTTAACTAGGTCTTGCAGCGGTGCCTGACTGACCTACAGAGGCGTCCGTCGGAAATTCGAGTTCACTGGGTCCGTCTTGCGGACATTGAACGCTTGGTGCCATGAGGCCCTTCCGGTGAGAGGAGGGGGCTGGGGCGAGGGTGAGACGAGGGGGCTGTTCACTGGCCTCTGCATTCAGCCTGATGGCGTGTAGTCTCTTGACAGTGGATCCTGGATCACCCCTTGTTGTCATGCGACAGTGGTGCTAGGCCCCCCCGTCACTAGACTTTTTTGTTTTTGGAGCCTGCGCGCGACCCGTAATCCAGCGGTGGATGTCCGCCAGGCCCCGACAATGCCGTCTGGCACTCAAATCATCTTTGATTTGGTTGAGCCAGTTCGAGCTCCAGCAACCTTGAAGCTGGCATGCCTCCGGCGTGAATGCGACGTGGTGTGATAGGGAATCGCACGAAAGCGCAACCATGCGCGAACACCACGTAGCACGTACCGCAGGATCAATTGCACACGTCATTTGCAAGTTTGTGTTGTTCGGTAGTTTGCGTGACATCGATATATATATATATATATCGATGCGTATAGTTACACATGTATATACGCATATACATATGTGCATATGTACACATATACGCATATGATGAGCAAGGGTCCTGGGGTCCCCAAAGTGCACTAATTTGCCTTCTGGCCGTTTCGGGCCCAGCGAGGGGCGCCGCAAAACGTCAAAGGGGGCCGAGAGACGTCCAAGAAGGCACCGAGATGGCCCAAGAGCGCCCCAAGAGAGCCCAAGACCGCACAAGAGCGTTGTCCCCAAGAGGGTTTCAAGTCGGCCAAGATGCCCTCAAAAGGCCTCCCACGAGGCATTCAAGAGGCGACACAAATATGTTTTTCTTGCTGACTGGGTGTAAGGTTGTTCGTGTTCTCGCTTTTCCGTGCTTCCGACGGTCCACGAGGCCCCAGCAATCAGCTCAAGACGGCCTGAGAGGCACCCGAAGATTGCGCCACAACGGCGCAAGAGTCCCAAGACGGCCCAAGAGTGCCCCAAGCCGGCCCAGAGGCCCCCAAGATCGCCCAAGAGAGGCCCCAAAACGGTTTTAAGACGGCCCCAAGAGGGGCCCAAGAGGGGGAACACGAACCGACAATGCGAGCCTTCCACCCCAAGAGGCTTCCAGGAAGCCCCAAGAGGCCCCCAACAGAGCCCAAGAGGCCCCCTAGAGGCCCCCTAGAGGCCCCACGAGGCCCCAAAGGGGCCCCGAAAGACGCTCCACGAGTATCCGTAGCCATTTTGGCTCAAGGTGGCTCTGACTGCAGCGCGCAAGCGCTCATCATAGTTGCCCACCATCACCATGCGGACCCTGCGACCAGGCCTCTAGGGCCCGAGGCGGCCCACTTTTCCAAAACTCCCCCCTCCCCCCGCGGTGCCCACTGTGTCCCTCGGGGTCCGGGACACATTGCGGGCCTTCGGGGGGCTTTCGGAGGGCCCGAAGGCGCTGAGATAACCCCAAGATCGCCGCAAGACATCCCCAAAAGGCGTCCAAAACGGCCCAAGAAGCCCGCAGGATCGCCCCAAGACGTCCCACAGAACCCTCCAAGACGGACTCAGTAGGCGCCTGTGGATCCCAGTGCGCTCTGAGACAGTCCAAGAGGCCCACAAACACCCCACTCCGCACCCCTCCCCGCTCCTCCCAGATCGTTCCTATTCCAGGCAAGTTTGCGCGAGGCGGTTGCGTCTCTGGCCGCGAGATCCTGCCAGTTAATACCTACATGTACGACCACCCTTCGGGTGATACGGAGGTTATGTGTCTGTGGTGAAGGGGGGAGGAAGGGGGGGGCCAACTGGAGCTACAACATAGCATTGCATCGCATAGCAGAGCGTAGCATTGCATAGCATCGCACAGCACAGCATAGAAGAGCATGGCGTCGCATGGCATAGCATAGCATAGCATAGCATGGCATAGCATAGCATAGCATAGCATCGCATATAATAGCGTACCATCGCATCACACAGTATGGCGTAGCATAGCATAGCATAGCATCGTATCGCATATGCGCAGAACGCGCACCGGGCCCGGTGGCCGAGGGCCGGAACCTCGAACGCAAAGCCCCAGGGCCCGGGCCCGCTTTTGGGAAGCCTAAAATCGCCCCGGGGAGCCCTCAGACAGCAATCCCGGCGGCCCCAGATGGTCTCGAGACACCCCCAAGACGCCGTCCAGGGGTCTTTGGCGACGCACGATGCGTTTTAAACTGCCCCAGAGGCCCCCTAGACGCCCCAAGAGGCCGTCAAGATGCCGCCCAAGAACGCCCCGAGAGGGCAAATCGTTGATTATCATTGTTTTTTTTCCGTGTTATTTTTGCATTCTCGCTGTGTCGTGTTTCCAGCGCTAAAGCACCGCACAAGAGGCTCCCAAAACCGCTCCAAGACGGCCCAAGAGGCCCCCAAGAGGGCCCCAAGACGGCCCAAGAGAGCCCCGAGACGGCTCCAGAGCCGCCCAAGACGGCGCAAGAGGGTCCCAAGAAGGCCCCAAGAGGGGCCCAAGAGAGGGAACGCGAACTGAAAATCAAGCTTTCCGCCCCAACATGCCCCCAAGAGGCCCCAAGAGGCCCCCTGGAAGTCCCCAAGAGGCCCCAAGAGGCCCCCTTGAGTCCCCAAGAGGCCCCCAAGAAGCTCAAAACAGGCTCGAAGAGAGCCCCGAGACGGCCCAAGAGCCGCATCGCGCTATCCTTCGCTACGCGCTATCCTTCAAGCTAGCTAGAACTTGAGCGCGCGCGAAGCGCGCGCGATGGTTCTTTATACGGCACCCACTACGGCCTAATCCCTCTTCACAGAACTATGTAGTATCCGCGCCCTCAAGCCCACGACGCCTCGTCTCAAAACGCATCTGCGCTCCAGGGTCCACGATCATGTGTAAAGCACATGGGTCCGCGCTTCCGAAGCCACGATCCCTAGCCAAAGAAATCATACATTATACAACGCCGCTGATGCCACGTTTCCGAATAACGAACCATGGACCCGCGCTTCTGAGGCCACGAACACTTGTAACAACCTACATGTCCACCACTTCCGTAAGTTCCTGGAAGGTCCAGCGGAGTGACGCCCCTCGGGGACCCGAAAGGGACCTCGCCAGGTCCGCAGATATCGCCGCTTTTGTGAGCTCCTGGGAGGTCCAGCCGAGTGACGTCCCACGCGAGCCCAGAAAAGGGACCTCGCCCTCCCTGGGGGCTGCCAACTGCGCAACTGCCCTGCCTGGGTACTGCCACCTGCGCAGCTGATCGCCACTTTCGTGAGCTCCTGAGAGGCGGAGCGCTGTGACGTCCTACGGAGCCCCATGTGGGACCCCGCCCTGCCTGGGTGCTGCCAACTGCGCAACAGGCGCCACTTTCGTGCGCTACTCGGAGCCTCATCTGAGCGACGTCTTAGCAGCACCTAAATGGGACACCTGCCTGCTTGGGCTCTGCCCACTGCGCAACTGTCACCACTTTCGCCAGCTGCTGGGAGGGTTTCTTCGGTTTCGGCGGTTTTGCTATGGAAAGCGTGATTTCCCCACCAACAATCAATGAACGTCCTAGGGTCTCAAGGTTGGGTTTCTTGTGGAAGGTTTCTTGTGGTCGGGCCCCTAGTGTATTCGGAAGCGTGGACACGTTCTTTCCAAGCCATTTTGGCTCAAGTGCACTTCGGCCTCGGTTGCTTTTGTTTCTCCATACGTGTCCTGCGCCAGGCGCGATGGCCGCAGACGGGCGCGGCGCGGCGCCGGCACTGTCCTCGCACACGAAGGGCGTCCTGGTAACCATCGCGGGCGTGGTCTGCCTGTCGCCCGACATCGTGCTGGTACGCTACGCGGAGCTGCAGCTGCCGCAGGTAGGGGACCACATGCGAACCCTGCCCCTACCCCCCACGATTTCTGAGGGGGGGGTGGGGTTTACTTCGTTCCGAGGCTCCCGAGCGAAGTGACCGCCCCCCCCTCCCCCTCAGAACTCGTGGGGGGGGTAGGGGCAGGGTTCGCATGTGGTCCCCCAGCAGGCGAACTGCGTCGTGCTGCACAAGTACCTCTTCAAGCTCCTCGCGACGTTCGTCGGGCTCGGGCTGGTGGCGTACGGCGGCCCGCGGGGGTACCTCGCTCAGGCGAGGGCGGCGGGGTGGCACTTCTGGGCGGCGGCGGTTCTCCAGTGCGTCCAGGAGCTGCTCTTCACCCTGGGGGCGCTGCACACGACCGCCGCAGATAACCTGGTGTTCCTGAGCCTCAGCCCGCTGTGGTGCGCGCTGTTCAGCGTGGTGTGGTTTCAGGAGTGGCCGCAGCGGCACACCGCTCTGGCCCTGGTCGTGAGCCTGGGGGCCGTGGCGCTGGCGTTCTGGGGCGGCACGCGCGAGGAGGCGGCGTCCGGGAGGCAGTCGGTCCTGGGTAACACAATCGCCCTGTGCTGCGGCGTCGCGATGGCCGCCCTCCTGACAGTTTGTCGTCACGCGGAGATCGCGCGCCTGCAGGCGACGCTCGTCCCCGCCGCGCTGCCCGCATCGGTCTTTTCCGTCGCACTGGGCGTCGTCTTGGCGCAAGGCCGCGTCGGGGAGGAGTGCTGGCCCGCGTCTGGGGTGGCCGGGCTGGTGCCCAGCGCTCTGAACGGCGCCGCGTTGCTGCCCGTGGCGGACGCCCTCTTCGCCATTGCCCCCAAGTACATATTGTCCTCCGAGGTCGGTATGTTCATGCTGCTCGAGCTCGTGCTCGGCCCTTTCCTCGTGTGGATCGCGATGCGGGAGACGCCGTCGCCGTGGACGCTGGTCGGCGGTGTGATCTTGATGGTGGCACTGGCGTGCAACGAGTACATGTCGTTGCGCCACGAGGTCGCGGCACTCGCCGCCAAGGCGCCCGGCGCCAGTGCCCGCTCGGCGGGCGCGGCCGATCCTCCGCCCAGGGAGGGGCCGCGTGCGACGGAGTCGCGGGGGGCGGCGGGCGACGGGGATGCGGCCCGCGAGGCCGCCGCCGAGGTTCAGCATCGTTTAACCCGTCCCTATCGCATTCTCCATCCCCGTCCAGATCCCCACCATCCCAACACCCTAGTTGGGGATGTGCCCCTACAAACTCGAGGGGGACAGCCTACATCCCCATCTAGGGGGATACATCGGCAGTGTGGCCCGGGCCACGCCCGTGGGGATCGGGATCGGTTCAACGATGCACAGAGGTGTGGGTGTGAGCGTCCGCAGGGCCGTCCGTACTCAGCCGGCGGACGCCCTCCGCGCCTCTGTGGCGGGGACGCCGGCCTGTGCAGCTCTGTGCTGGCGGTGCCGCCGCTGGCCGCGACAGTTGGCGTCGTCGTCGTCGTCGTCGTGCTGGGATGTTTGCGCACGGAGCTCCGCCACATAATTGGTCGGCGGAGAGCTTTTGTTTTTGACGGGCCGACAGCAGGCGCCCCGCGCAGTCGCGGGCGCCTGGGAAGGCGCCGGTCAGTCCGGCGCCTTCGGGAGCTGCGCGCGGCGCTACGCAGCGAGGACGGCGGGGAGCACCTTTCCAGATTGTAGCTTACAGAGCATGAGGTGCCAGATGGCGAATCGTGTCCACCTGAGCGTCCATAGCGAGCTTGGCATTACAGCAAGCTAGAAGTGTGGCTACGCACCACGCCGATAGCTGTCTCCTCCTCTGGATCGCTTTGGTGGGAGCGAACGAATTCAACGAAAACTGCAAAGTTCAAGACGTGCCTGCAGCATTCGCGGCTCCGCTAGCGGAAGCTCAGCGGAAGCTTGGCAAAAGGCGGTGGAAAGGAAACCGAGACCCTGACACCCGCCGGTATGATTATCCGTTGCCCCAGGGGTCCCGACCGCTTTCCCGGGAGTAGTTTTTCGCCCTGTCTCCATCTTTTCTTCACGCTTCGCGTATCCCCATCAGCCCTCAGGCCTGTTGGACGCACCTGCATGCCCGTTCAGGGGCTGTCATGGCACCTGGACTGCATCGTCTTCCCGGGACGCTGTCGTGAGCCGCCTGATCCGCGGCCCTGCGCGCGTTAGGCAATTTAGTCGCGTCCGCGGCCCGTTCGCGACCTTCCGCCGCTGGCGCTTCCGCCTGCGGCTGTAAAAAAAAAATATCCCCATCAGCCACGGGACGACAGGGAACAGCCGGCACCTGGGAAGATGACGACCCCCGTGAGCTGCTCGCCCAGAACCGCGCGCAGGCATACATGAAGGGTAAGAATCGCAGATGGCTCTGTGAGATGTGCTGGGTCAGCTCCCTGGAAAGCAGGGGAATCCATGTTCCTGACCCCAACCAGGCTGCAGGCGGTCCCAAGAAACCCATGCAGCAGCGGCTGCAGGAGTACAAGCGCAGAATGGGCGACGAACGAGCGCGCAAGAGAGCTCGGACCCTCCCCTCACTGTCCAGTCTCCCGCTGGGGTTCGGACGCCCCAACGAAGCCTCGATCCCTTCATCCCTGATTGACCTTGTCAGGCGGGCGCCGCGCCCCTTCCAGCCAACCTGCGCCGGCACTACCCTCCCACCACACAGGCTCACAGACGGCAGGTTTGGTGCAGAAACGCACATCACCCAAATGTATTCGGCCACGTGCGACACCTGCTCCCCCGGCTCCCCGTTGCTTGAATGGATGCCTGGCCGTCTGGCCCTGGGATGCTTCATATGGCGCCCAAAAGCGGACGCCAGCTGCAACGAGCAGACAGGGCTCCCGTCGTGGGACGCAATGCCCTTTTTATGGGCCGCACGGAAGTGGAACGCAACATGGGCCTGTAGGAGGTGCCTCGTTCACATTTGGAGCATCGCCCCGGGCGTCCTCGACCAAATACTCGACCGCTACTCCGACGAGGTGCACCCCGCCACCCCCGCAGTGCGACAGGCCACAACCGACATTCCTGAGGACTGGTGCAACTACGACATGGCGGCACACCTCTCCCCAGCCGACCAGGCCTCGGGCACAGGCACTGGCACACTGGTCCCACCAGGCGACGATCAGTCAGCACTGCCCCCAGCCGCCCACGAACAAAACGGGTTGGCCGGCGGAGCCACCACCCCCTACTTCTTCCCCAACCAGCCGCCACCCCCTGCGCCCCAGCTGCCTACGTACTCTACCCACCGGCTGGCCGGGGAGGAGTCGAGAGCCCCCGTTCGCGCTTTAGTGAGGTACCTCATAGAGTGGGGCCACACATCCTACACCCTCTGGGAGGCCTATGTGCAGCGACGGGGGAAGGATATAGTGGGCGACGTGACCGACGAAGCGGGATGGCCCTTCGAGCAATTGCTGCCCTTCCTGGACTCAATCTACGGAGAGGAGATCCCCAGCAACGGCCACCCCCCACACATCCCATGGGACGGAAAGAGGGCTGCTGCAGCCAGGGTTGTCACACGTCTGGTGGATAGCAACCCAAAGTACAAAAAGGAATGGGTACACTACGCTGGCAACCTCGACAATCAGAAAGGACAGTGCCCCCACCGTCAGCCGATACACACCCTCACGCAGTTCCTCACGGAGCTGCAGAAGTATCTCGCCAAAGGGACAATATAACTCCTCGCCGCCCAACCACAGGACGTGACGTCCAGAGGAACAGAAGAGGAGTCGCCCGCTGCCAGCTGGCCCAGCAGGCCCCAGGAGAGGGCGGAGCTGCCCACGACCGACCAACGCGCGGAGGAGCACGACGCCACCCCGGCCTGTGCCAGCACCTCCCCCCAGGAACCTGACGCGCCTGGCCCGCCCGATGGACCCCCCGAAGAGGTGCCTTCCTCGCCAGAGCACCCGAACGGAGACGGCAACCCGGAAGGCATTGACTGGGATGACGACGCCGACAAGCAGTCCGAGACGGACGACAGCCCGCCAAGTTCCCCCGACCCAGAACAACAGGGCGGTTCTGCGCACCAGGCTGATGACGCAGACAGACCAGCACGCACCTATCCGGCGGCGGCCCAAGGCCCCCCCCCCTTTATGGACCCAGCCCCCTCACAGGGCTGAATCCGCAGCCTGGCCCCCATTTGCGCGGGCGTCAGATCGAGGGGCACCGCGCGACACATGGATGAGGGACGAAGCCCCCCCCCCCCAGTGAGGGACGAACCTGGAACGATCGCATCGGTGACGGCCGTTCACTCAGACAATCGGGGGGCGTAGCAGGCCGCCGACCACCCACAATCGCTGAAGACCGCAGCAGAGAACACTCTGCCACACCACCCCTCAGCTCACCCAGGCAGCGCCACAGCTCACAGGGATGGCGGCACGACGCACAGACAGCAGCAATCCCACCTGCGCGCCGAGACGACCCCATGGGTGGCCCCCCCATGTACCTGAGGCCCATCGGCGACGTAGACGTCACAAGGGACGAGCCTGCGCCAGAAAAAGATTACGCGAATGCAGAAAATAATGGGGGGGGGGGGCGTGTGCTTTCAATGGGGTGTGGAGCGCCTGGGCCAGCAAGGCGGCGCGCAGGCAAGGGTCCTCCTGGGTCAACATCAAGTCTGACCCCTGGCGGAACACCCCACGGCAGTGCGACGACTTCCTCCGGGCATGGGGCAAAGTGGGATACGACGCCTACAAAGTGGACAGTGAGTACCAGCCCCACGTCGACTGGCCAAACGTCATGGAGAAGCAGCGCAAACACGCGCAGCGCGACAATAGAGCACGCGCGGCGGAGCCCCCCATCGGAAGCGGAGGCAAACACCCGTGGTCCAATCAGGGCCAAGAGGTTGCAAGGAATCCCCCGTGGGCCTCCGAGGGCAGGGCCGCGCAGACAGGTGCATCTGGATCTGCAGCCCCCTGGCGTTTTTGGCAGTCCTGGGACGCGTGGGGGCCCCATCGAGACACATGGGCCGACGCAGACTGGAAGGTCAGGGGGAAGCGGTCCTCCCCCAGAGGAGACACCCGCTGCGCGGGCCATCGCCAGCGCGGGTGGGATTTTGACCCCAAGTGATCGCGACATGGCCCTGACGCAGGCGCCCAAGTACCCCCCAGGTCAGAAGGGCTTGCCCGCCCGCGCAGGGCCCCTCCGCGGGCCCGCCCCACGCAGCCCCCACACCTGCTCATCGGGCCCCAACCCGGGTCCTGAGGAGGATGGCCCACGTAGCCTACGCGCGGTTCAAGCCTTTCTTCATCCAGCCATGTCCATTCTCAGGTTGCCACTCGGACTGTCATGGAGAGTAACGCTTGCTTGCTGGGCAATGACGACCTGGGGCAGCTGGGAACGGCCTCCCCCGCCCTCTACAAGGTTGTCTCCATCGCGTTGACGTTGTGGGCTATCTGGGGCCCCTCCGTTCCAGGCGGCGCCCGCTGGGTTGGCGGCCCCATGGTCCTCAACCGGCCCTTTGCTGCGCGCAGCGAGGCAGCAGTGGACTGAGGAGTTTCGCCGCAGCGCCAGGCCTCGGCCTTAATGCCCCCGTGCATTTCTGTCGGGGTAGAGGTGCACCAATACCCGTGCGCTGTGCGCTAGACAGCCTACGCTGGTCTCGCGGCGCCCTTCGTAGGCGGGTGGCGGCTGAAATAACCCACCACCCGTGCAACGCTGGGACACCCACTTTGTCCCCCCTGGGACACTTACTTTGGCAGGCTGGGGATGGTGGCCATAGGCCCACCCCGCGCGCCGCGCCTGACTCCGACGCGTTGCGCCTCACGCGTTTCCCCCCGACGTTGCGGCCCTGCAGCTGGGACACGGCGCCCCCCGGCATCTCAGGCGCCCTGTTCCCCCCGTAATCGAGGTCCCCCGCGTCGCGCGGTGCAATCGCAGTGGCCTGGGTCTCGCTACGCTCGCTGTGGCGACGCCTCCCCCTCCTCCATTCATTCAATTGATTTTGCGGCTATCGGCTGCGTCTCCCCCCCCCCCCCCTCTTCTCCTCCTGCGCATTCGGCCGCGCGCGACTTCCCCCCCGCCGACGCTCGTGGAGCACTCGGGTCTGTGCACCCCCTGGCGGATTTCCCGCAGCGCTCCTTGGTGAGGGCGGGCCGCGCTGCCACCTGGCGTTGCTCTGGCTGCTCGGGCCCCTGCCTGCCCCGGCGCCGCCGGGGGCTGGACCTGGAGTGAATGCGGTGCGGCAAGTGGTACACCCTTTGCTCGTCTGTCGACGTTCCCCCTTCTGGTCCACCACGGCCCCCGATTGACGCGCGCCGCTTGCTCCCCCCGTCCGCCGCGCGGGGTGAGCTGCCTGCGCTTCTCGCCGACAACGTGATCCACCCCTGGTCGGGAGCCATCATCGTGCTCCTGGTACTGCTCAAGTGGTTCATCCTCTGACCGTACTCATGCTCTCCTACGGGTTGGTCCATGGTGCTCGGCCACACCTGCTGCCGTTTCCCCCGTCGCCCCGGGCCAGGCAGTCGAGGTGCGTACTCTGCGGCTGTTTCGACGTCAGTGCAATGGTCGTTGGCTCACGTCGGATCGCGCCCAGGAGTCCAAGTGAGTGAGGCTTACATGGCCACCCCTCTTTTGCCCGCGCTTCCCCACTCCTCTCGCCTCGCAGTGGTGAGCGGTGCGGCCTCGCGTGCCCACTGTCTTGCCACTTGTCTGCCCTGCCCCGGCCTGTGCTCTGTGAGCTGGATGGTTTGAGCTGGCGCCACTGTGCGACTCCTCTCCGTCTTTTCCTTTCTGGTGCTTCCTTTCCCGTTCGCGGGTGGCTCGCAGCTTAATGAGGGGCATTTTGCCTCTTGCCGGTGCACCTGTTTCGTTGGCCTAGGCGCCTTCGTTGCCAATTATCTCGCCCTGTGCCCCAGACGTGCTTGCCCCGCTTCCTGGACTTCTCCTTGGAGCCGCCAATCAAAAAGCATCACCATCAGCACGGCCCCTGGAGGCCAGTTTGCTTCGAGCGGTTCAGCCTTCGCAGCCGCGGCCGCCCCCCCCGGGCCCTTCCCACCCCCAGCCTGGTATTCGACGTTCCTCGGCGGAGCAGCTCAGCTGGCTCGCGCACGCCGTTGGCGCGGCCTGGGCTTGGCGCCCCGCTGGCCACGGCCCTTCGCTTACCACGTCTGGGCACTCCAACGGCATGGTGGACATGCAGCCCACAGCTATCGTCCTCACGCTCGTCTGGGTTTTGCCACTCGGCACCTCTTGAGTTCACTAGCATTTTGCCGCGTTGCAAGTGCACGAGCACCCTGGACGCCCTCAGCTCGCCGCTCTTCCCGCGCAGTCAGCCGCTGCTGGGCGAGTGTGCCGGCCGGCTCGCGGCGCGTTCAGCTGCTAATTAGGCCGCTGTCGCGACCCGTAGCGTTTCTGACTCCGCTAACGCCTTCGCTATAGCGGGCGCGACCGAAAAAAATATCCCCATCAGCGGCCGCACGCTGGTAGCCTGGCTTTCCTGGCAGCTTTCGCAGCCTGCCTTCAGCCCCCGGCGCCCCTCAGCCTCCCTCGGCGGCAGCCTCGGCAGCCGTGAGCGCGTTCGCTGGGCAATTAAGCTCTGCCCGTAGCCCGGGTTGACCTCTGACGCCGCTTGCGCCTTCGCTTGCGGATGCGGCGGAAAATTTCCCCATCGTCACATTCGCGCGCCCTGTCCATAAGAGTTGACGGGGAAGGGGGCGAGTAGACACATGTAGTGAAACAGAGCGGGCGACCAGGGTGGACAGAGAAATCTCTGGGAGCAAGGGCGCGGCCTTGGAGGGCCTCTTCGGGACACTCCTTGGGGGCCAGGGAAGGAGGAAAAACAGTAGGAATAGGAGTAAGAGTAGGAGTAGGCGTCAAACTAGCCAGTTCGAGCGAGGCAAGCATAGCATGCCCGCGCAACTGGGGGCCGACATCCGATCGGCAAGGTGGTTTGCCACAGGTGATGCAGCCACGATGGCGGTTACCGATGGGGAATCCCTGGCGCGTTTCAAAGACCGCGCTGGCATTTGTAGCGCGAGCCGAGGAGGCCCCAGGAAGCTTCAGGAGGCCCCAGGAGGCCTCAGGAGACCCCAGGAGGTTGCAGAAAACCCAAGCGAATCCCAAAAGACCCCAGGAGGCTCCAGGAGGGCCCACGAAGCCCTAGGAGTTTCAAGGAGGCTCTTCGAAGCTTTAGGAACTGTCAGGAAGCCCCAGGGAATCTCAGGAATTCCCAGGATGCCTCAGGAGGCCCCAGGAGGATCCACGAGGCCCGGGGGAACCCCCGAAAAAAACCCAGGATGTTCCAGGAGACCTTGAGGGGGCCCAAAGGGGGCCCTAGGCCCCAGGTGCTCGACGAATTGGCGGACAACAAATGCGCGCCGCGCCTTAGCGGGAACGCAACTTTCAGAAAACATGCGCGCGGCGCCAAAGCGGAAACGACATTTCGCTGTGTCGCGCGCGATGCGCACCGCGCCTCATTTTTGCCACGCATTTCGCAAATCTGACGACAACAAATCCTCGCTCAAAAGAAGCATGTCGACTTTGTAGTGGCTTTTGAGAGGTAAGATGGCCCGTCCCGCTCAGGGTTGCCCCGTACGTCTGCGCGCGATGTGCGCCGCGTCCCGTTTTTTGCTACGCATTTCGACGACCAGGTAGGCCATGCTGAGAGGACGCACGGACACTTTGTATGGGTGTTTCCCAACGATATTGTGGTGTTGGGTCTTCGTGTTGAAGAGACGGCGCCCCGCGGTCCTCTCTTTTCTTTCCCCCTCCCTCCTCCTCCTCCTCCTCCTCCTCCTCCTCCCCCTCCTCCTCTCACCATCATCATCACCACCATCCGCATCATCATCATCATCATCATCATCATCATCATCATCATCATCATCATCATCATCAGCAGCATCATCATCATCATCATCATCATCATCATCATCATCATCATCATCATCATCATCATCATCTTCATTTTCATCTTCATCTTCATCTTCTTCATCTTCATCATCCCCATCATCATCATTTTTTTTCATCATTCCCTTCATCATCCCCATCATCGCCATCACCCGTATCATCATCAACACTCTAATCATCATCGTAATCATCATCATCATCATCATCATCATCATCATCATCATCATCATCATCATCATAATCATCATCATCATCATCATCATCGTCATCATCGCCATCATCGTCGTCATAGCCTCTCTGGCCCAGGCACCTGCCTGTTCGAGGGTTTTGCGGGCGCATCTGCGCTCACTGCGGCGGCGGGTGCCGGCGACCTCTGCGATGGTCGTGGCTGCTCGGATCGAGTGGATTAGTCGGCGGGTCCTCCAGGGAACGCATCTAGAAGTCTCGACGTGCTGCTCGTCGCTCCCAGGGCGTGTGAATCTAGAAGGCCCTCGGAGTCTGCCGGAGGTCTTCAGGAGCTTCCTGGGGCCCTTTCGGAGCTGACTGGTCTCAGCCCAGAACCTGTACCCCTTTTCCTTTTTTACCGCCGTTTCGGTTTAGGGGAAAGGGGGCTTGTTGGCCCCCTCTCAGGAGCACGAGCGCTCGGTATTGAAGAGCGCTCGCCACCACATCCTTCGACCTCCCTCGTTGTATCGATGTCTCGACGACGCGTGCTAGCATTTGAGACTATAGCCACACGTGGTAAGCGGAGCGACGGCAACGACAGCAGCCACGACGTAGACAAGCGAAAGTGGGACATCGTAGGCGATGAGAAGCCGAAGGGCAGCAGGGGCGAACCTCACGACACCATCGACGACGGCACACGGGACCCCTGTCGAAGGCGGAGTCGGCAGCGCAGAGCGTTGCAGGATCTCGATTCGAGAACGGGCCATGGGGATCAAGGCGGCTGGGGAGTTTGGTGGGCAAACGACGACTATGATGATTGATTGTGCGGGAAAAACGCGGCAAGACGTTCGAGGAGAGCGGATCGGACACGCACTCAGACAACTCAGATTCGAGAGGATTCGGCATGCCAAAACAGTTCCAGAAGGCGGTGGTGGCTCGAGGTAAGCAATATCGAGATGACGAACACGAAGGACACCATCGAAGAGGAACGCGCCGAGGTAAATACCCCCCCTGTTCTTCGTGGGACGGCAAAGATTTCAACGAGCGGCCAGAGAAGAGGTTGGCGATAGACAGGTGGTGTCGACTCACGGCAATACCGCCAGAAGGGCAGGGATACACGCTACTGTTGCACCTGACGAAGGAGGCGGCGACGGCGACACGGCATCTGCGACCATGGAGTGTGCAGTACGCTGGGGGGCTTGAGGCTGTCAGCATGGCCTTGGGCGCGCTCGCGTTTCCAGAGGCATGCGCCGAGACCTTCCAGCAGCTGGAAAAGACGCTGCTCGCGGCACCGAGATCGCGCGTGGAGGCGCTGATGAAGTTCACCAACAGTGTCAGAACTGAACTGAAGGAGCTGGCCAGGCTGCTCCCCGACGCCCTTGCCGAGACGGCGATGGGGTTTCTACTGCTGCAGGGGGCAGGCCTAGCCAGGACGGGGCGAATCCAGGTATTCATCCAGACGGGGTGCGATTATGACATGAACAAGTTGGTTGCGATTTTCATGCGCAGGAACGGCGACCGACGAGCTGACGCTTACATGGGCGGCCGATTCAGCAAGGGCACGAGAAGAAAATGAGCAAGCGCTTTCCGGCGACGAGGAGGACACCATCATGCACGACGCAATGGCGAACGCGCCTTGCATCGAGGGGGGCGAGGCAAACGGCGCAGGCGACAAGCTGGACCACGAGGAGACGCTGACGGAGACGGAGGCACTGGACTGCTCGGCGGCGCTCGGCGCACCTCCGCCGAAGCCCAGGACGTGGATGGGGGGCCAGGAATATCGTTGCCGACAGGAGGACCAGAGGGGGGTTCCGCAACAGCAGGGACCGAAGAAGAACAGAGGATAATCCCGAGGACACCATGAAGCGGACCAAGTGCGGCATGCGCCAGAAGGTAGGACATTGGCACAAGGCGTGCCCCGATAACCCCAATAACAAGGCCAAGCCGACAGGAGTCTTCATCGCGATGACCGTTCTGGACGACGAGGTGCGCAGCTACATCGCTTCGGAAGCGACGATGGCGTCGAGGTCCAACTTCGCGGGGCATGTCAACCTGATGGTGGACGTCGAGAAGCCGGGCAGACCCGGATGGGGAGCAGTAGACACGGCGCTCAGGTTGAACGCGATGGGCCCCCCGGACGTGCGATGCGCGGTTCTAGCACTGCAGCGAGCGCCGCGACATTAGGCTGGAGACGGTGCCCCACTGCGAGAAGTATCGTTTCGGGAATGACTAGGTCTGCGCCGCGACGGAGGGAGTCATCATCCCGATCGTGCTCGGCGCGTTCAGCGGCGTGATCTTTGCGCGCCTGGTCAAGGGGGTCGCGCCGCTGCTTCTAGCAAAGACGTTTCGCGTAGAGCTGAAGGCATCGTTGCGCGCGTTCCAGTCGGGGTTCGATTGCCTAGATAAGAATGTAAGACTTCCCCTGGATCGCGCTGGTGGCGGGCGCCCCCTGCCGCACCTGGGCAACTGTCTGAAACCTTGGGGGGGGGGGGGGGGGGCTGAGAGCTGGGCGCTGCGCGAAGGAGGTTCCGATGGGATTCGGAACAGGCGGCGAGTATATCTATCCATTGACATCTGCCTCGGGAGGCCCCAGGGGCGCCCCCCGGGTCGAAGCGCGCTTCTCCCTGGGAGTCTCGGGCCCCGCAAGGGGGCCGGCAAGCGCGCGGGCGAGCAGCGGGCAGGCAGGCATCAGCAGAATGAGCGCGAGCACTACGAGAAGCGGGCAGGATAAGGAGCAGCAGGAGCAATCAGACACGACGAAGAGCAATATCGACAAGAGCAACTACACGCACTACAATTTCAGAGCAGGCAACCCCGATCAGGAGAGCAACGACAGCATGGCAGCAAGAGCTACATCAAGCGCGACGACAGGGCTCGGAGACGAAATGACGACAGCAGAACGTTAGCGAATGGCCTGTTCGGCTCGAGTCTGGTTTTGCGGACATTTTTCCCGAGGACCATTTTAACAGGTATTTTCCGCATTACCATGCCTTGCGACGAGCCCTTGAGTTCCCTGGCTCAGCACTCGGAGCCCTCGTCGTCGCGAGAGTCCGCGACACCGACGGGGCAGGTGAAATAATCTACGGCCCAGGAGAGGCCTTTTCCACGCAGGGCGAAGGATCCGATGGAACAGTTCAGCGCGCAGCGCGACGCGACCTACCGGCGGCCCTGGCGCAAGATCTGCAACCTGCCCATTCCGCCGACGGGGGCGATGATGCGCAGGCACTGCGGCGTCATCAACCATTGCCCCCGAGTCCCCACCGTCGGGGCGAGAGCCAGGGCCCGCGATCCACCGATGGAGAAGGACCGCATCCACGAGTTCAGCAATCACGGCCAGAACGCGATGGCCTTCTACGTCCAGCGCAGCGGATGCCAGCTCCACTTGGAATACTATCGGAGGGTGGCCAAGGGGGCGCAGGAGGTGATTGAGAAGCTGAAGGGGTCCAAGAACGATGGAGGCTCGGATCAAAGGGTGGTCGCCGAGGAAACGCAAGGCCAGGGCCGGCAAGGGGCAGGAGGCCGAGGCGACAGCAACACCGACGAAGTCCAAGCCAGCAACCAGGACAGCGAACAGCAGACCGACCCCCCGGCACCGCGGGAGCGAGCTGGGCGATCAGGAGACCCAGGAGGACTGGGAGGAGCTGGACGAGTCACCTTGGAGCAAGGCTCCACAGGCGCTGCGCGAGCTGCTGAGGGATGAGAACGCCAACGATGCGACCGACCAGCTGGTCGGGAGCTTGATGGGGGCACCTCGGAGCAGGCTTCGGCGAACTGCACCCCCCTCACGGAGGAGCAAAACAACATCCTGAACAAGTCCATCAAGCTATTCGACAAGGTAGACAACTTTAGGCAGGCGATCGACTCAGCCATCCCAGAGAGCCAGAAGAGCCAGATCGAGGACGAATGCGAGCCGCAGGTCGAGCACCTGGGCGAGGATACAGGAGCGACCAGGAACGTCAAGAGCAGGGAGGTCATGGCGCTGACGGGTTTTCACTGGGTGGCCAGAGCGGGTCAGTAGGAGGTCCGGGCCGAGATGCAGAGCACGAAGCCCTGGCTTATCATCGATCAAGCCACCCCAGGACATCTTGCGCACTCGGCCGGAGGAGAAGATCGGCAAGGAGATGCTCACATGCATTTTTGATGTGGCCATCCAGCAGACCATCGACGGGAAGGTCTTCTACTACGAGCGTCACGACCACTCCAGAGACCGGGAGGACACGGCGATCAATAAGTTGACGCCTACCAGAAGTGAGCCAAGGAGAAGCTTGGGCGAAAGGGCGAAGCTGTGTATCCAATCAGCCGAGGTCGGCACTGGAGTTCGGGGGGGTGCGGAGCCGGGAGGTCGTGAACGGGCCACCTCGGCTGAAGCTGGGAGACGTCCAGGCGTCGCTGAAGGAGCTGGCGGGGGCCCTGGCATGGTCTATCGCGAAGGAGAAGGTGACGGGGCAGGTCCGCGAGAACCGCGAGGACGAAGCAGAGGAGGAGTGGGCAACTTGCGCGCCATGCTGCGCGGCACCTACGATGCCAGCGAAGGGCGAGAGGAGCGCCGACCCGCAGGTGAAGCAGCAGGTTCAGAACATGCACCAGAACATGGTGCATTGCAGCAATGAGAACTTGGTCATGGTCTTGAAGTACGGCAAGGCGCGACATGCCTACATTGGGGCGGCGCAGCAGCTGGAGTGTCCGAAATTCGCAGCTAGCAAGCGACCGAGGCTCGCCAAGCCTTCTAGGGAGCCTACTCCCCATCAGATCACCAACGTCATGGGCATGGGCATCTTCTTCGTACTGGGCCCCGAGAGCACCGCCAAGGTTCCCATGCTGAACGTGTCGAGCCACGGCGCGGGACGCCGGGTCGTGGTGCAACGCCCTGGCCGACGTGGACGTCAACTGTCGAGCATTGTGGAAGCGGGTCCACGGCGCACCGCGCGCGATGGTCATCGACGGGGACAATGGCTTCCCAGCCGGCGAGATTCTTGAAGCTGCCGAAGGAGACGGGGCCGAGGTCAAGGTTACAAGTGGTACTTCACCTTGGCAGGCGGGCAAGACAGAACGAACTGGAGGCACCTGGAAGGAGACTTTCCACGGGGCCAGGCAGAAGTTCAACGCGGCCAAGCAGAAGTTCAACGCGGCCAACTGGGGCGACTTGTACGAGTTGGTGGGCTCGGTCAACGCGGCCATCGAGGAAAGCGTGCGGAGAGGAGGTTTCGCACCATGCCAGCGAGTACTTGGACGACCATTTCGGCTTTAATATCCTGGAGGAGGGCCCGCCAAGTCTCTCCGCGGCATCGAGGACTATGACTGGAGACGCCGAGCTGGAGAGGAGCATCGGCATCCGCAAGGTGGCGATGGCAGCCTAGATCGAGGCAGAATGTTCGGAGCAGTGGATGCGCGCGCCCAACCGAAGGACCAGACCTACGAGGGGAACTACCTTCCAACCTGAAGACAGGTGTTATTTCTGGAGAAGCAGCATTGACGAGCTACCTGCCAGCTCATGGCATGGACCAGCACGGGTGATTCAGACCGAGCTGCCGAACACCGTCTGGTGTTCTTACCGGGAAGGTTTGCTGAAGTGTTCACCTGAGCAGCTTCGACATGCGAACGAGGGAGAGGCGTCGTCTTGGGAGCAGGTGGACAGCACGATGCAGGAGGAGATCGACACGGAGAACCGTGATTGCCGCAAGTACGAGCATCTCCCACAAGGAGATGGACCTCCCGAGGAACCAGAAGACAACGTACCACGAACAGCACCAACGTAACCCGCAGAGGACGATCAAGCATATTCGTCATGACAGCCACCCATCAAGGGCATCGAGAAGGCAGGGGGCGTCAACCCATGACCCGGCCCATTCCCATGCCCATGATGCGCTACGACCGCCTCGACGACGTTCCATTGACCATCAAGCAGACATCAGATTCCCCGAGCTCAGCCATACCGGGGACAGAACGCATCGCGACCATCGCGGAGGAGATAGCTAAGGACGCGGGAGCTCCACCTAAGAAGAAGGGCAGGAGGGTCGAAGGGCAGCAGGCCAGTGCAGCACTACATACCAGCATCAATCAGCGACTTCATACGGAAATCGCCGAGAAGTCCCTGATGAACGCGTGCAGGTGCAAGCCCCGCATCGCGGCTAAGCGGCGCGAGTGGGGCAACATCAAGAAACCCTAAGCGGCACGTGTTCTTCCACCCGATGAAGCTGAGCAGGTGCGACGAGATCCTGAACGTGGTTCGCGGGTCGCGGGTTTTTCGATGGGCGTTGACCGACGAGGGCGGCGACCCAGAGGGGGCGGGCGCATGCAAGAGGAAGCTAGTTTTCATTGTCGACGACACGTGGAGGGTGGCGAAGGCGAGATGGACGGCACAAGGTCTGATCCTGATTTTCTAGACCGAGAATTTAAGTCTTGTGGTCGGGAAGATCATCCGTGTTCTTGATTCTACGTATTCTTGGTACACATAATTGGACGCTGCATCTGGCCGGCATCGCCTCGGCTTTGACCGCGGGCGATCCCATCGATCGATCGCAGGGGGGGTCATGCGCGGAGCTACCTCGGACAGGCATTCCAGACGTGGAGGTTCGCTGGTGGAGCGACTCAAGGCGGATTGCGGAATGGGAGACGCCCCGCTGCAATGGCTATCAGCCTGTACCAAGTGCGCCAAGGAGATCGGTTTCAAATGCTCCATCTTCGACGCCTGCGTCTTCCACTGGCGCGGCGACAAGGGCCTCCAAGGCGTCGTGGGCTTGGCGGCGGACGACGTCGCGGGCGTAGGTGACGCCCTGTTCGACGAGGCCTGCGAGAAGCTGCGGGACAGGTTTCCATTCGGAGCCTGGCTTCTCAAGAAGGGCAGGCAAACGGGCAAGGGGCCCAGGCATAACGACGACAACACTCATTGGTCTGAACATGGGCATGGCTGGTTCGGGGGGGGGCGACCTCTGCGGCCCTCCAAGATCTTGGAGAACCGCCGAACGACACCTTTCAAGATTTGATCTATGCTTCTGGCGGATCTCAAGGCTCATACGTGACATCTCCGGAATAGAAAGCCATCGATGGGCGAAGGGCCAGCCGAGAAACCAACGCGAAGTCGGTCGTTCGAGCATCCGGGGGGAACAGAGGAAAAGGACGAGGAGGTGGACGATCGCGCTTGGAAAAGTTTGATTCGCATCCATTGGCGGCGTTGTGGGTTTGTTGGAGTTGTCATTGCGTGCGGCGGCGCTTCGCCCGCGGGCCACTGGTCGCCTCAATTGAGCAAGCCCGCTTTCTTCGCGGTCGCGAACCACGTCTGTGGCAGCGACCTGCCTGGCGGCGACGTCGCCGTTCCTCGTCGCAGGCAAACCAGGCCGGCGTAAAGCCTGCGCGCGCAGCTTGCCCCCCAGCGATGATTGCGAGAAATGCAGAGCCTAGAGAAGGACGCGGATGGCTATCATGTGTGACTTGAACTAGTCGCCCGGGCGCAGCGCAACCTCCTGCAAACAATAAACTGCACCGCGCACCAACTTATGCATGGGCCCGCATGTCTCGATGACGTCAGCTTCATTGCATTGGGGCGGCTAACATTGGCTTGATGCTTGGCATCCGCGAAGAGTGCGCCGCTCGCTTGCCGCCCATGGCAGCGGGGGCGCCCAATGGCAACGCGTGGGTGCGGATTGCGAAGCGGCTTCGGCGTATACCTATTAATCCATTCGGGAAGATCCCCGCGAGGCGCCCCCGAGCCCTCACTTCGAGACCAGGGGGTCGCGGGGCGACATTGGCGACGAAGTAACTTTGAGATTCTTAGGCTTACGCCACACCGCCGACCCCTTGTTTATGCCAATCTGGGGGTAGTAGAAGCTGCGAAGGGGTGAAAAGGCGAGTGATATTTGTTTGGTGTCTGTTCGCCGCCACCGCCAGAGGGTCTCGGGCAGTTCCGCGGGGGGGTCCGAGCGGACGGCGACACCGCGAGTTTTGGAGCCACTTGGGGGCCGTTTCGGAGCCTCTGGGGTGCTTCTTGGGGGTTCCTTGGGGCGTCTGGGCGGCCTCGTGAGGGCCTCTGGGGGCCTCTTGGGGCACTCTTGGGGCCCCCTGGGGCTCCTGGGGGCAGAAAGCTAGAGTTTCAACATGTTTGGTCGCCCTCTTGGGCCCCTCTTGGTGCCGTCTTGGAGCCCTCTTGGGCCGTCTTGGGGACCTCTTGGGCCGTCTTGGGGCCGTCTTGGGCCGTCTGGAGGCCGTCTTGGGGGCCTCTTGGGCCATCTTGGGGCTATCTTTGGGGCCTCTTTGGCCGTCTTGGAGCGTCGGGAAGCCAGAAAGGCGGGAAAGCAAGAAACGTCGAAAAACATTCGGGAAAATCAACAATTTTAGACTCTTTGGGCCCTCTTGGGAGGCTTGTTTGGGACCTCGGAGGCCGTCTTGGAGACCTCTTGGCCCGTCTTGGGGCCATCGTGGGCGTCTTGGACCGGTCGTTTGGCGTCTCGGAGCCTTCGTGGGCCGTCTTGGAGGCCTCTTGGGGGCTTCTTGGCCCGTCTTGAGGCCCTCTTGGGCCCGGAAAAGCCCCGTGAGTCGCTCGTCCCGGACCCCCCCCGCTCGCGCCGGACCCCCCCCCCCCCTCCAAATCGACCGGGCCGGGCTCCCGGGGGAGGGGTTTGGGGAGGGGGAAGCATCTCACACGCCGATGATCCCCAAGGGGTCGGCGGATTGTTTGAAGGCGCTGGGAGGCCTTATTTCCCAACCGTCCTGTGGTGCTGGGTCTTCGTTTTGAGACGGTGCCCCGCGTTCCTCTCCTCTCCTCCTTCCCCCCCTCCTCCTCCCCTCCCTCCTTCTTCCGTGCGTTTCACGCACCCAGCACAGCGTTTCGTGGCCCCATAGGGAGCCCCACCGAAGCCCCCAGAAGGGCCGCCCGCATGCGCCCCTCACATTCAATTTTGCATTTTCACCCACACAGTACAGCCTTTCGTGGCCGCATAGGGAGCTCCACCGAAGCCCCCAGTGGGACCGCCCGCGTGCGCCCCCCACGCCCAATTTGGCATTTTCACCCACCCAGCACAGCGCTTCGTGATCCCATAGGGGGCCCCATCGAAGCCCCCAGCGGTGACGCCCACATGCGCCCCCCACATCCAATTTGGTATGTTCACCTACCCAGCGCAGCGCTTCGTGGCCCCAGCGCTTCGTGGCACCATAGGGAACCCCACCGAAGCCCCCAGTGGGACCGCCCGCATGCGTCCCCCACGCCCAACCTGGCAGTTTCACCCACCCAGTACAACGCTTCGTGACCCCATAGGAAGCTCCACCGAAGCCTCCAGTGGGACCGCTCGCATGCGTCCCCCACGCCTAATGTGGCATTTTCTCCCACCCAGCACAGCGTTTCGTGATCCCATGGGGATCCCCACCGAAGCCCCCAGCGGTACAGCCCACATGCGTCCTCCACATCCCATTTGGCATGTCCACCCACCCGGTACAGCGTTTCGTGGCTCCATGGGGAGCCCCACCGAAGCCGCCAGTGTGACCGCCCGCATGCGCCCCCCACGCCCAACTTTGCATTGCCACCCACCCAGCACAGCGCTTCGTGGCCCCGTAGGGAGCCCCACCCAAGCCCCCAGTGGGACCGTCCGCGTGCGTCCCCCACACCCGATTTGGCATTGTCACCCACCCAACATAGCGCTCCGTGGCCCCGCAGGGATCTCCACCGAAGCCCCCAGTGGGACCGCCCGCGTGCGTCCACCGTGCCCAATTTGGCATTTTCACCCGCCAGTACAGGCGCTTCGTGGACCCATAGGGAGCTCCACCGGAGCCCCCAGCGGGACCGGCCGCATGCGCCCCCCACAGGGAGCTCCTCCGAAGCCTCCAGTGGGACCGCCCGCATGCGCCCCCCCCACACCCAAGTTGGCATGTTCACCGGCCCAGCACAGCGCTTCGTAGCCCCATAGGGGGCCCCGCCGAAGCCCCCAGTGGGGTCGCCCGCGTGCGTCCCACGCGCTTAATTTGGTACGTTCACCCACCCAGTGCAGCGCTTCGTGGCCTCATAGGGAGCTTCACCGACGGCCTCTGCGCTACCGCCCGCATGCGCCCCCCCCCGCCCATCGCGGCGCTTCGTGGCCCCATTGGGAGCTTCGCCGAAGAAGATATTCACAATTGCGGCACCCACAACTTCATATGGTTGTGTCCTTCGCCAGAATAGTCTTGCTCCCCCGCGATTTCTTGATGTGTCTTGATAAATGCGAATGCCTCTTTTTCTGCGCCCGAAGGCAATTTTGAGGTCGCCCCCGGCATTGTTAAGTCGTTTCTGGCGAGGTCCGTCCGCCTCTCGACCCAACGGAAACTTCGTCGCGATCTTCCGCCGCGTTTGGGCACCTTGCGCGCCTGTGGGAAACTCGTGGACGCGGGCCTCGCGGTCTGGGGCACGGCTGTTGACGATGTGCATGCGCAGGACAAACTGGGGCGCCAATGAAATCGCCCGTTATTGCAGTCATCCTTGTCGACGCGGCGCGTGGTCGAGCCCCGACGGGCACGGATAATGCGTTCGCGCGACCCGTAGGTGCCCCTCGTTGCTGGCCGTTCGCAGCTGTTCGCGGCTGTCCGCGGCCGTTCTCGATCGCCCCCGCATGGGCGAGAGCTGCTCACCCCATTCGCTGCCGCCCCTTTCGCGGCCATCGTGAAATGACTGGCGCGGTGCCTCTTTGCCCGGGCAGACGGTTTACTTGCGAACCGTCGTCTGAGGAAAGTGAATTGCGGCGGCGGCGGCCGCGGCCGCGGCGCGGCGGCGCGGGGGCGGTTCCGTCGCGGCCAGGGAGCGGGCTTGCCAAAGCCATGCCGTCCATAACCTATGCGCACTGTGCCCACCAGGGCCCGAACCAGTTCAACGAGAATTGTGTTAAATCGCTCCGCCGTCTCAAGCTTAGCGCGGTTTCCACCCTTGCGCGCGCGTGCGTGCTCGCGTGTGCTCGCTCGCGCATGTGTCGGCATAAGCGTGCGTCGCGCTCGCAAACATGCGTGCGTGCTCGTTCGAAGTGCTCGCGCTTCTAAACTGCGCGTGCTAGCCCGCTGGTAGAAGCTTTTTTTTTCTTGCTGAATTTCGCCGCCCCCATCTGTCCCACCCCGACATTCAAGCACATGAAACACCGGGATCATGGCGTCGCAGAGACTGAGCTCCGACAGCATCCAGCTCATCAACATTGCGACGGAGAGGCGCAAGGGGCCCCAGTCAGAAGTAACTCCTGAAGAGTCTCATCCAGCAAGCAGCCCGCGTGGTTCGATTTCCTGCTTGGCACGTGAGCCGACCAGATTCATCAGGGTTGGTATCGCTGTTCCGAGGAAAGATGCCCAAGCTGGTGATCGAGGATTTACTGGAGGCGAACCGCATCGGCAGGATGACCAAGGAACCCAGCAACGTGGAGTTGAAGAGCAAGCAAATACCGTTTCACGAGCTCGCCTTCGTGACCTTCAATAGCGCCGTTTGAGCGAATGCGCGAGATGGAGCTTCGCATGCACGATGCATTGTATTCGCGACGCAGCGGGCGATGCTCAAGGGAGAGCCCGCCACAATTTTCCACCCAGTCCTCGAAGAGCCACAAGTTGAAGAGAAAGTGGGCTCATCACCAGTATGGAGCGGAGACGTCGGCGATCTCAGAAGGAGTGGCCATGGCAGAGTTCGCTCGCACCATGCTGCTCGTGGTCGTGGACAACGAGTTCGGCCGAATGGGGCCCTACTTGTTAGCAGGGCGACCCCCTGTTGTCAGCGCCACCGACTCCAGGGGAGGCTGCGACCACGTGACCATCTCCAAGGCGGGCCTCCCAGGGGAAAAGCAAGCAGCCATCGACGTGGCCATCGCGAGGGCAGCGATGCAACGACCTGAAGTACATCTTCGGTGGATCGAGGGGGCCAGTCAACTCACGGATCCTCTCACCAAGAGAACGGACGAGAGTTCACTACTACGCCACGCCCTGGAGCAGGGCGAGTACGGCATCACCGCGGACTGCATCGCGTTGCAGCGCCGCAGACGGGGGCAGCCTACTTCGCTTGCCTGACCGACTGCTGCTTCACGGCCTTGGGCCTCTTTGAGATGGATACTTCTGGGGATCAGCATAGGAACAGTGAGAAGGGTGATCGTAAGTACGAGCCCGTGGCCTACAGGAGGCCAAGAGAGGCCCAGCTGGCCTACGAGGAGTAGGAAGCCTCACCACCTGAAGATAAGGCCCGAGGAGTGCAACAGGTTCTGAGCAGTAGAGCACAGCCTGAGTGAACCCAGAAGGCCCTCGGAGTCTTTCGGAGGTCTCATCCCGAGGCCCTTTACGAGCTGCCTTTGCTGGCCCAGAAACTGCACCCCCTTTCCTTTTACCGCCGTCTCGGTTTTGGGGAAGGGGGCCTGTCGGCCCCCATTTCAGGAGCATGAGCGCTCGGTGCTGAAGAGGGCTTGCCGCCGCATCTTTCGACCTCCCTCGTTGTGCCGGTGTCTCGACGACGCGTGCTAGCATGTGAGAGTATATCCACAGGGCGTTCGAAGATCAGGTTGAAGCTCTCTCCGATGGCATGCACTGCTCGACCGTGTCGCAATCGGGGACCCTGGAGACGTTAGCAGGCGCATCGTGGCTGGCTCAACAGCACGCTGCCGTGGACCGTGGATACCGTCACAGTGATGGTCGTCAACAGGTGTGCATTTGGCTTTCGCCTCGTTGTGGTCGCCCGCCTGACGGACGACTCATGCTGATGGCTGGGCCGGCGACGCAGGGCCTGATGACGATGGTGACGATCGTGCTCGCGGTCGCCGTCGCGGTCGCGATGTGCTTCCTCCTGCCCTTCCTGATCCGCGGCTTGACCCTGGGCGTGGTCCATGGGCTGCGGCGGCGCTGCATGGCTGTCGCGATCGCGCGCGCAAAGCCCCGCGACGACATGGAGATGGCGATGCGGTACCTCAGGCGCACGGTACTGCAGTGCATCGGTTGCCGGAGATTCCTCTTTTCCCGTTCAAGACGGCAGCGTTTTTGTGGTTTCTTTTCTTTTGTTCCCGGATGGTGCCCGCGCTGTGCATCAGGCGGCTCGTGATGGCAATTATAGTGATCGACGGCGTGTTGCGCCTGAGCTTCATTCCCCTGGCGGCTGCTCTTGGGATGCTGCTCGTGACGCACATGGTATGTTTGATCTGGGTCGTGGGAACATATAGAGAATCGACGCACTCCTTCGTGAACTTTGCCGACCTTCCTGTGCCTCTCGTCTTGCTCGGCCGCGGCCTCCGCCCATTAGTGTGGAAGGGGGCTGGCGGCGATGATGGTCTTCTCTATATCACTTTTCGTAATTCTCGCATACCTCATGAAGCTTGCTGGCAGCGCCGTTCACCATTTGTGCGCACTAGCATCGAGTTCTCCGACTGCGACCCCGAGTTGGAACAGCTTGATGCATTCGCCGATTATCCACACTGGATGTGGAAGTCCGTCGTTGATGAGAATCCACACGAGCAGCGCTGGAGCGCCTCCGAGCCGAGAAGCCGTGCTGAATCGAATCGTATTTAAAACGATGTTCCCGTTGACGCGAATAGTAACATTGAGAATGAATTTGGCCGCCTTCTCCGAGTCGACTTCCAGCCCATGTGTTTCACCGTGTTCTCGTTGATCGGCCAGTTCGTCTTCTTAGGTGTCAATGACTCCGTCGTGTCATGCAGCACCTAGTCTGGTTGTTCGGCGGCGCCCTCGGCTTCGCGTGTGTCTGTGGTATCTTCGTCGGCGCAGTGCTTCATCCATGGTGTTTTCGCTGTCCCTCATTACTCCGTGTTGGGTGGTAGAGTCTCCGGATATTGAGATACCGAAACTTTGGGGCGATCCGCGGGGAGGGTGGCAACAAAACGTCTCATCGTCGTCATCATCATCGTCGTCATCGTCGTCATAATCGCCATCATCGTCATCATCACCACCAACACCATCGTCGCCATCATATCCTTGCCTGTGCCCTCCGCGTGTCACTGTTTCGGCACACCCAGCGCAGCGCTTCGTGACTTTTAGGGAGCTCCACCGAAGGCTCCAGTGGCAGGTTCGCATGGCGGCCTCGGGCCATTTCGGCACACCCCTCACGACGATCGTGGCCCCAAAGGAGTCCCACCGAAGGCACCAGTGGCAGGGCTCGCGCTGCGGTTTCAGGCCATATCGGCACGCCCTTCATGAGAGGATCGTGGCCCCATAGGGAACTCCACCGAAGGCCCCAGTGGCAGAGTTCGCATGGCCGGCCACGGGCCATGTCGGCAAACCCTTCACAAGGATCGTGGGCCAATAGGTAGAAGCCCCACCGAAGGCGCCAGCGGCAAGGTTCGCATGGCGGCCTCGGGCCATTCCCGGCATACCCTTTCCCGAGGATCGTAGACCCATAGGGAACTCCACCGAAAGCGCCAGTGGCAGGGTTCGCATGGCGGCTTCGGCCCATTGCGGCGCACCTCTGACGAGGATCGTGGCCCCAAAGGGAGCTCCACCGAAGGCTCCAGTGGCAGCGTTCGCATGGCGGCCTCGGGCCATTCCGGCACACCCTTGACGAGGATCGTGGCCCCAACGGAACTCCACCGACAGCGCCAGTGGCAGGGTTCGCATGGCGGCCTCGGGCCATTTCGGCACACCACTCACGAGGATCGTGGCCTCACAGGGAGCTCCACCGAAGGCCCCAGTGGCAAGGTTCGCCTGGCGGCTTCGGGCCATTCCGGCGCACCCCTCACGAGGATCGTGGGTCAATAGGAACCCCACCGAAGGCGCTATGGCGGCCCCAGATATTTCGGTACACCCCTGACGAGGATCGTGGCCCCATAGGGAACTCCACCAAAGGCCGCAGTGGCAGCGTTCGCATGGCCGGCCTTGGGCCATTTCGGCACACCCTTTACAAGGATCGTGGGCCAATAGGAGCCCCACCGCAGGCGCCAGTGGGAGGGTTCGAATGGCGGCCTCGGGCCACTCCCAGCATACCCTTCACGAGGATCGTAGCCCCATAGGATGTCCAACGAAAGCGCCAGTGGCAGGGTTCGCATGGCGGCTTCGGCCCATTCCGGCGCACCCCTCACGAGGATCGTGGCCCCAAAGGGAGCTCCACCGAAGGCCCCAGTGGCAGGGTTCGCATGGCGGCCTCGGGCCATTCCGGCACACCCTTGACGAAGATCGTGGCCCCAACGGAGGTAGTAGTAGTAGTAGTAGTAGTAGTAGTAGTAGTAGTAGTAGAAGAAGAACAATAAGAAAAATAAGTAGTAGTAGTAGTAGTAGTAGTAGTAGTAGTAGTAGTAGTAGTAGTAGTAGTAGTAGTAGTGGTAGTAGTAGTAGTAGTAGTAGTAGTAGTAGTAGCAGTCGTAGTAGTAGTAGTAGTAGTAGTAGTAGTAGTAGTAGTAGTAGAGTCGTAGTAGTAGTAATCGTAGGAGAAGGAGTAAGAGTAGTCGTTGTAGGCGTAGAAGTCGTAGAAGTAGAGGTTTTAGTAGTAGTAGTCGTCGTCGTCGTTGTCGTAGTAGTAGTAGTAGTAGTAGGAGGAGTACCTGTAGTAGTAGTAGTACCTGTAGTAGTAGTAGTAGTCGTAGTAGTAGTAGTAGTAGTAGGTAGTAGTAGTAGTAGTAGTAGGAGTTAGTAGGAGTAGTAGTAGTAGTAGTAGTAGTAGTAGGAGTAGTAGTAGTAGTAGCGGGTGTAGTGGTAGTACTAGTACTAGTACTAGTACTAGTACTAGTACTAGTACTAGTACTCGTACTAGTACTAGTACTAGTACTAGTACTAGTAGTAGTAGTAGGTAGTAGTAGTAGTAGTAGTAGTAGTTGTTAGTAGTAGTAGTAGTAGTAGTAGTAGTAGAGTAGTAGTAGTAGTAGTAGTGGTAGTAGTCGTAGTAGTAGTCGTGGTGGTGGTGGTGGTGGTGTGGAAAGAGTAGTAGTCGTACTACTCGTAGTGTCGTGGGGAGGAGGAGGAGGAGGAGGAGGAGGAGGAGGAGGAGAAGGAGTAGTAGCAGTAGTCGTCGTAGTAGTAGTAGTAGTAGTAGCGGTAGTCTTTGTTAGTAGTAGTTAGTAGTAGTAGTAGTAGTAGTAGTAGTAGTAGTAGTAGTAGTAGTAGTAGTAGTAGTAGTAGTAGTAGTGGTAGTGGTAGTAGTAGTAGTAGAAGTAGAAGTAGTAGTAGTAGTAGTAGTAGTAGTAGTAGTAGTAGTAGTAGTAGTAGTAGTAGTAGTGGTGGTCGTAGTCGTAGTCGCAGTAGGAGGAGGCGCAGGAGGCGGATGAGGAGGAAGACGACGGTTTCTGGTGCGCGAAGGGGGGGGGAGGGGTAGCTTCCGCGGGGCGTGAAAAGGGGGGCGATGGGGTGGGAGGTTTTTGCAGGGCAGGTCCAAGGGGAAGGGGGGGGAGCTACGGGGGGACCTCCGCCCCTTTGCTCTGGTCCTGCGTGTGCGTTCTCTCCTGGCTGTGAAGTTTGCATTTGCACCGGGATCCGTGTTCGATCATGGACATTGTCATTCCGTTGCTCGATTGTGAGGGCATTCCGTTGCTCGATCATGGGCATTGGCATTCCGTTGGCATTGGCATTCTGTTGTTCGATCATGGGAATATGGGCGAAGAAGAGAGGAGTGTGGGAGGAGACGGAAGGGCTATCGGTAACAATTGAGGCCAGTATTGAGGAGGAGGAGGAGGAGAAGGATAGCGAGGATGAGGAGGAGGGACGATAGGCACGAAGGGGGTTCGAGGAGGGCCGCGAGCAGACAATAATTAGTGGCGTGGCCGCTTGGTTTTTGGTCGCTCAGTAAGTAGCGACAAGGCAATCACCTTGAGGGGGGCATCACAGATTGCATGAAGGTTGTCCCAAAGAGTGCCTGAACGACCCCTACATTGCCACCGCGGGCCCATGAGGTGCACTAAAGGTGAAAGTTTCTGCACTCCTGTTTTATTGCCTTCCTGTCGTACGCCCGAGAGCTGACTGTTCCTAGCCCTTTTCGGCGCCACCGGCGCCACGCCAATCTGGCCAGGATGTATTCATCAAGAGAGGAAAAACCACCAGGATCCGACAATTGGCGTTCACTAAACGGCCCTGGGCGTTTGCTAAACAGCCCTCCCCTGTTCGATTCCTTCCCTGGGTGCGGCTGCGTTTACTAAACGGCCTCGCTTGCTGGAGTGGTTATCATGTGGGTGGATTCTCTGCTCTCTCATTCAGCCATTGAGAGTTCAATCTGCAGTGCGGAGTTCTC